CCCACGCACTGCATCCCCTCAATCTGGGGCCACCCATGCCTCCAGATGATGGTCGCCGTCGCCAACCAGGCGGCCAACGCCGCAGAAGCCGGCATCGCGGGCTTCGCTCGCCACAAGGTCGACGCCGCCCGCCAGCGCGGCCTGGCCGCCACCCAGGTCCACGTAGAGCCATACATGCTGCAGCGGTGAGCCATGCAGGTCCTCTGCAAGGCGACAAAGGCATCAGGCAGCCCCAAACCCTATGCCGCAAGAATCTGCCGGTTGAGGGCAATCGCCCGCCCCCCAAGTTCCCGCCTTGCGTTGTGAAGCGAGCTCGCGCCTGCACTGTAAGGCACCCTGACGCAGACCTGGTTGGTGCTCGCAAGCCACGGCCTCGGCCAGTCTGCGCCGAGGCTGCCAAGTGGCAGGGGCCCTGCATCTCTCGCACATCACAGCCTGCGTGCCGGCCGCTGTGCCGCCCTCCCTCCTGCCTCGCGTCCACCCAAGCGGAGGTCGACCCTGGTCGACCTGGCTGCCCTCTCAACAGGCTGCAGCTGGTGACCTGGGTGTCGCAGCACCCGTCCGCCGCCGCCGCGTTCATCGCCGCCGGCGCGGGCGACGCCTACAGCCTGCTGTTCCGCCTCGCCTTCAGGGCGGCGTCGCAGATCGTCGACCCTTGGGTCAAGGGTGAGCGAGTCTGCACCCGTCTGCTGCGCCTGTTTTGCTCGTCTATACCACTGCCGATGCGTCTTTGCGTCCACCGAATCCCTCGACTGCTGTTTGCTGTGCTTGTGGCTGGCAACTCGTGTTTTGCAGTTCAAACTTCAGACTTTGCACAGCCCGCTGCACTTGGCACACTGCGCATCCCCGTAGCCCTGAGGGAGCAGGCGGACCGCGGCGCGAGCCGGGGCTCAAAGCCGGCCGTGCTGGTGCGCGCCCTCACGCTGCAGGCCAGCGAAATCGCGTCCCTGGAGGTGGGCGCACGCGCATGCGTGTTGCGCGCGTCTGGGAGGGTGCGGCCGCTCGTCGCAGCCCCCTTGCGGCATGCCCGGCTTCGCGGATCTGCGCACCCTTCGTGCCCTGCGATTTGTGCACATGCTTGCTGCGATGCCACCGGCTGTGCGCCAATGCTACGGCCACTGCTTCAAACCTGCCGGCAGTCTTTGAGGATTCTGCCGTGCCCCTGTGCCTTCCAGGCGATTGTCACTTTGCTCAGCACATCAACCCGCAAAACCACTGAATCAAAACAGCAAGTTGCAAGCCTGATCTACACCGTCTTGGTGCCGGCTGCCGCTGCCGTGACACTTGCTTGGGCGCTCCGCCCCCCGCCTGCCTTGCGTCCTCGAGCCGCAGATCATCTGCGCCGCCCTGGTCCTGGCCTATGCACAGGTTTGGTGGGGTCCCGGGCGAGTCCTGCTGCCTTGTGTGCACATACATTGGGGTCACTGGCAAGGCTGCAAATGTGGGTGCAGGCGCACAGCCCACGTTGGGGTCCAACAGGTGCCCCACCTTCCACCGGGTTGGTGGAAGAGTGGTGTGTCGCCATACTGTGTGACGCGGCATGCCTACAGAATCAGAGGCTGGCTGCTCCCAGCCGCCGTGTCAGCGCAGTGGTTTGTTGGACGCAACCCACGTGGACACACGTGTCAGCGCGTGTGCGCGTGCGCACGCATGTCCGTGTGCACACGCGCACAATCACACACACACACACACACACACACACACACACACACACACACACAGGTGTATGACGCATTTGAAGCGGCCGCGCGTGTCATCTTCGACAGCGCTACATCAGCTGGCCAGAGCTACCTGGCAGAGAGGTGCGCGATTGGTGTTGATGCGCGTGAGGTGCGGGCGAGGGACCAGCTGGTGTTTCTAAGAGCAAGGGGCGGCCAAGGCTCAGGATCACGGGTCTCGTGTTGCTTGTGCTACAGCACCAGCTGCCCTGCCTGGGCGTACGCATGTATGTCACACTCGCTACGAGTCTCCCGATTCACATTTGTCAAGCTCCTGGACCTAATTAGGTGACTTATAAGTAATAGGTTATTTACCTCCCGGCGGCCCGCGTACCCCCTGCGCCCACCTCACGCCCCGCAGCTACGGAGGGGAGCTGGCGGCAGTGACGGGCGAGGGCGTGCAGGTGACCAAGCGCTGAGTCTGCTTGGATGAGCTCGTCACTCCTGCTCAACAGACGCTAAGTTGGTGCAGTACCGCTTGTGGGAGGCAGTACGGCACCAAGAGGGACTGGTGCAGTGCTGCCTTTCAGTCCACAAGTCTGGAAGGCGGAATCGCGCCAGTACCCCTTTTCATTTGCACGACACTGCAACGTTAACAACCCTCAGCTGCGCCATATTCTCAACTGAAAACGGTGCTGCTGCCCGTCCCCTGCTGAAAATCACCCTGCCCTCGCAGATCGCGGGCCACCTGTTTGCGCTGACGGCCAGCTGGGCGCGCCTGCTGGGCCGCGCCTTCATCAGCCGCCCCACGCAGCGGCGGGCGCGCGAGCTGCTGCTGCGGGAGGTTCCCGGGGTTCAGATCGAGCCGGATCACGACGAAGAGTGATCTGGGGTGGATGAGGATACTTGCAGAGGCTCTATCTGGGCCCGGGGATTGGCGGGGCAGCGTTCCGCCAGCAGATTGGGAGGAGAGGGAGAGGCGAGGGTTGCCGCAGCATACTTGCGGCGCTGCTTGCTTCCAGCTGAGGTTCACGTATGCATCCAGTCCTTTTGCTGGACAAAGGGCAAGTTACCTACTGACAATGGCTGGTGACCACCCTGGCCGCGAGGACGTGCGCACAGACTGGCCTGCGCGCTGTGAGGGGCTTTCACACTCGGACCCGATTGCATGGTGGCCATTACCATCCAAGCAACGGCAGCACTGCAAGGGTTGCAGCACCTCACGTGCTTGCGTGCTCAATGTTGTGGGAGTTGTGTTGCCTCGGCCGTGTCGCAGCTGCCGCGGTTGATTTTCCGCTGGAGCTGCTTCGCTCGGTTGCAGTGTGAACAGATTTGCTGCATTCTTGCAATCATGGCGGCTGCACCAGTCGATGAACGCATGCTTTTGCAATTGCGCCGCCGCCGCAACGGGCTCATTGGCATCGATTTCGTTACGCAGGGCGTGCCCCGTGAAAACGCGTCTTGCGATACCCGTTGACTGGTGAGCTCACGCGGCCGTTGGAACAGGCTGCAGGCCGCGCAGCAAGGCGCAGCGCTCGCATCCATGCGCGTTGACGGTCCCAGCAGTCAATCGTGGTCTGATTTGCATTGGCACAGCAATCAAAGCACTCAACCTGCAATCAATGGAGTAGGGTCCCGCTCCGTCAGCACGATCCGTGCCTGATTGTGCAATTGCCGACCAGCTTCCTCGAAGATCTGAGACATCTGATCTCAGAAGCGAGGGGAGCATGACCGTGGGCGCGCTGACGAGGGGCAAGCCACGCCAGGAAAGGGCGGCAGACGTATGCCTGATGGGCAGGGATGTTACAGCAAATGCAGCGAGGAGGGGTCGACCCTGCCAGCAGTCAGCACATACACGAATTTCAGTACACAAGACGTGCCGCTGCAAAGCCTGCCGCATCGTCAGAAGAAAGGGCACCGCCAGGCAGGCAGATCAAAGGGGGCGCCCTCGCTCAAACAGCCGCCGCCGCCCCCGCCCTATCAGGCGGCTCCCTCAGTTGACGCTCATCGACGCCGCGTCGCTGCCGCTGCGGCTGGAAACGCCGACCGACGCCGGCTGCTTGAGGGGCACCAGCTTGCCGTTTGCGTCGATGGTCTTCCGGAAGGGGATGAACTCGATGCCCATCATGAACGGCTGCAGCACGGGCGGCACGCGCACGCCGTCCGGGGTCTGGTAGTTCTCCAAGATGCAGCAGAGGGTGCGCTCTGTGGCGGTGAGCGTCGAGTTGAGCATGTGCACGTGCGCCTTCTTCTCCTCGCCGCCGGGGCCCTTGGGCGTGCGCATGCGGATGTCGAGCCGCCGCGACTGGAAGTCTGAGGGGCGGGTGAAGGGTACGGAGGAGGGAGGGCGGCAGGTGGCTGTCGGACGTGTGTTTGAGGTGCCGGGGTTGGAGGTTGTTGCTTGCAAGGCTGGCAGCGCCAAACCTGGGGCTCGGGATGGAGCGAGGACGCCACACGCGCCTCGCCTCCGCCGCCCCGCCTCAAGCCGCGCAACAACCCCACGGCACGCGACGCTGTGCGCAGCATCAAACACCTGACAAACCCCAAGCGCACCGCTCCGCAAGCTCTCCCACGCCCCCTCCTCCCCTGAATGACCCGCCACCCACCCACCCGTGCAGTTGGAGCATGACACCAGCTCCCTCCACGTTTTGCTGGAGGGGAACCACGCCTCCAGGTCGTACTTCTTGGCCGCCGCGTTGTTGAGCTCCCCACTGACAATGTTGACCACGTGGTACGGCAGACCCAGAGCCTGTTTTGGGGGGGGGGGGAGGAGGTGGGGGTGGTGTGTGTGTGTGTGTGTGTGTGTGTTGAGGTGGAGGTTTGGGGGGGAGGGGGTTACGTTTGTGCGGAGGAGAGGTGGTGTGCGAGTAGGGTGTCGACGCGGCAATGGGTGAGTGGGATGTAGAGGGGGAGGCCAAGGGCGGCAGGCTGTCTGATAGATTACCCAGACCCCGTGTCATTGCCTCCCCCATCCACCCCGCAACTGGGCCCCCATCCCCCATCGCCGCCCGAACTCCACCCCCCTGCATTC